TGCTGTGGTGGGGGAACAGCAGTCACCTAGCATAGAATAGGTATGGGAATCTTAGTCTCTGACCAACTCAAGCAGCTTTTTCCAAATTTCTCTTTATTTTAGCTTTCTACTCCTTTCCCATTTTAGAGTCACTTGGTGCTGCCAGTTTCTAATCCTTTTGAAGATTCAAAGTGTAAAATGGGTTAGTTCTGAGCTTTACCCACTGTCTGGTATTGTTTTCTTGGGTCTGCAAAGTCCTTTACTACTTATTTACCTGTTTTTCAGTATCTAGAATTTTGTTGCTATTGTTAACTCTTCTGTTTCCCCTTGTTAATTTTTCTTTAAGGACTTATTGTATTTGTAATGTTGCAAATGTTCCCCTTCTCTAGTCTTTTCTGCTTTCTTAACTGTATTAACAAAATACATTTATTTCTATTTTGTAGATTTTATTGTCGATAGATGTTTCTTTAAATTATTTCTTTTTTTAGTTCTTTTTTTCTGATTGGAATTCAATTTCCTTGAAGTATTTACTTAATACTTTTTTTTTTCAGAAAGAGATATATGTAGTATATTCTCTGAATTTTTGCATATCTAAATTTGTATTTTCCCCACACATATGAGAGTTTACCTGGGCATAGGGTTAATTTTTTGGGTTAATTCTTTTCTCTCAGAACCCTATAAATGTTATTTCATTGTTTCTAGCATATAGAATTGTGAGTAAAATGTTTGATAAATATTGTTGTCTGATTAAAGTTGGCATTGTGGATAAAAATTTGAATACCTTTTCAGGTAATTGTTTCTTTCCACCTTTTATTTTTACAACATTTTATTTTTATCTTTTAAACTAAAAAAATTTTACTAAGGTAAGTTGTAGATACCAAGTTTTATATTCTCCTTCCACTAGTAATCTTGCCAGACATTTGGGGAGCCTTTGATTTTGAAAATTCAAGTCTTAAAAATAACCAAAACCTCAGTGTAATTTTTTTCTTTTTGTTTTCAAAATCATTATTTTTCCTCCATCTAATTTCTACTCTCATGGCAGTATTTCTCCCCCCTATATTATTATTATCTTAGGTCTTAATGAGATTGCTAGTTATTACTTGATTTTTTTTTTTTTTAAAAGCTCTCTCCTTTTTCCTACAGTAACTTTCATTGTAGGTACTGTTTTCACTGCTGGAATGGGAGAATAGAAGATAAGTTTTGATGAGTGTTCAGTTTATTTGCCCTTTGTTGAACAGCTGCATCTAATGATGTTTCTGCCTACTTATCTTTTTTGATGGCATTGATAGTTGAGATGAATTCATAGACAATAAACCAAGATACTCCTTTTTCTTTTTGGTTAGATGGAGGGTGAAGGAAAATTAATGATTTTTCTAACAGCTTAGAGATAACTATTTACTTATTTGGAGAAAGAACAGAAGTCTTAAGCAGAAGGAGATAGCCAGGAATATAGGAAGATGTATCTTGTTCAGAAATAATTTCCTCTTCTTATATCTCTCTTAATAGCTGGTGCTAGCAATCCCCAATTTCTGCGTGGCCTCTGGACCCAGATCAAAGCTTTGGATTCATCCTTTCCTCCCCATACCTCAGCAGAGACTTCTGTTGCCCCAGGGGACTCCACATAATCTTCCTCTCAAGCCCTTGCTTTCTCTCCCAAGGTATGTTTAGGGGAGGGAGTGGACAGAATTATGTTACTCATTTTTTTAATTAAGGGCATAATAGATACTCATTAAATATTTGTTGAATGAATGTTCCCTAGTAAGCCTCGTTAAAAGTGGTGCTTGACAGTTGGTCAACATTCGTTTTCACTCTTCTTTCTCTGGACCATTTCTTACCCAAACACCTTGCTGTATATGTATGGAATGTTTTCTAGTTTCTAGCCATTTTGTAGGATTTTCTTAAGTATTCTTTAATTTTTGGTTTGTGTTTTGGTGGGCAATTGGGAAAGGAAGGAAATCAAATTGCTTAAGCTTCCATCTTGGTGCAGGAAGCTCTTCAGGTTACTTGCAAGAAATATTTTATACAAATTGTGTTATTTCAAGGCTTGATAAGATACATGTTGGTCAAGTCTTATGAGGAAATAATCCTATGTAATAAAAGCCCAGTGACTGAATGGTGGAACGACCAGAACGACTGGCCAACCAGTCGCTATGATGTGCACTGACCACCAGGGGCAGACGCTCAGTGCAGGAGCTGCCCCCTGGAGGTCAGTGCACTCTCACAGTGGGAGTGCTGCTTTGGCTGACCGGGATGAGCAGTGCTCCCACAGCAGGCTGATCCCTGCAGGCCACACCCCCCGACCAGTGCACGAATCCCATGCACTGGCCTCTAGTACATATATAGGA